TTGGTCCCAAGCAACCGATTAACGTACCCCATTCTAGTCGAAATTCTAGTACTACGCAATGTTTGTTTTGATTCGCTATGAAAGTTTGACAGATAAAATGAGGGGTAATTGGTTTTTCCTATGTTTCGAGGGGTGAATAGATTAGCTTGGGACCGAAGAGAGTACCAGAGCTGAGCCAAAAAGTTGAGCACGTTATTTCGGGACCTACTAGTCTTAGAGTTACCTCTATGGTAATACCAACAATCAATACGAAACTAACGATTTTAAATTGGCTCACCACTTTAGTAGCCTATTGGTCCCAAGCAAACGATTAACGTACTCTATTCTAGTTGAAATTCTATTACTACACTATTTTTGTTTTGATTCGCTATGAAAGTTTGACAGATAACATCAGTAATCGTTGCACCCCTCGAAACATAGGAAAATCCACGAACCCCTCATTGTATCTGTCAAACTTTCATAGCGAATCAAAACAAACATACACACTAAGATTTTTTTGCCGAGATGGGCACCACCGAGCAGCTCGGCATTTTATTTTGCTGGAAATTCAGCAAAAAATATGTTTGTTAGCTGAGATCTCGGCAAAATTCCCGTTTGTTAGCTGAATCTCGGCAAGTTTTTCACTGAGATCCAGCTAAATAAAAAGCCGAGCTGCTCGGTGGTGCCCATCTCGGCGAAAAAATCTAAGTGTGTAGTGTACTACTAAAATTTCCACTAGAATGGGGTACGTTAATCGTTTGCTTGGGACCAACAGGCTAGTCAAGTAGTGAGCCAATTTTAAATCGTTAGTTTCCACCGGTAATACTCACTGTTGATGGTTTTTCCCTTTTCGAGGTAGTTCACGAAGAGTATGCCATGAAAATCCCAGAAAACCGATGCCATAACCTTTCCGACCCATCGAGCCTTCCTGGGCCGCTTCGGAGCACACGTGCCAGCTTCAGTCCATTGCCGGGCACTCATTCTGTTCTCTGGGGTGTAATAGTGCATCCAGGTTTCATCAACAGTTACCAATCGACGCCAAAAGTCCGCTCGATTCCGCATCAGCAAGTCCAAACACTCTTTCGAAGTGCTCTCGCGTTCGTGTTTTTGGTCAGGAGTGACTTGCGCGGCACCCAGCAGCAGGATAACTTTTTCATATGCAGAATCTCGCCCAAAATATGGCATGTGCGCTCAGTACTAATCTTTGCCGTATCTGCTAGGTTGCGACATTGTCCTCTGTAACCGCATCGGAGGGCCTGCCACTGCGGACTTCTAGACTAACATTTGAAAAGGGTGGAACTCCAAAATTACCATATCGAGAAAATCGCTTCTGAATTTTGATGACCTAAAAATTAATCCTATTTCACGACTTTCCATTTTCTGGATGATTTTATAAGCTTGACATATAGTTAATAGTGTAATCTATCATCAGGCATCACTTAAAGCTCAAAAAAAGTTTTCTTTGTCGTGAAATTGAGAAGAAAACATCATACGCCCTGATAATTTCTTACATGTTGTTACCCCCCAGATCTTCCATCCTTTGAACTGCCAACACTGGTGATACGCCGTGGAAGTACACCATCGGGATTTTTTGTTTGTTGTTCCGCCTTGATTCTTCGTTCGCAAATTTTGTGAGAGTGGAATTACGCCCGGAGATTTTTTGTTCTTCTTTTTGTTCGTTGTTTACACGTGAAATATCAATCGGATGCGTTTCAAATTTATCGGGCGTGACTAGATACTACAGAATCAATAAGTTTGGCATATTAAAACAATATAATTCGTTGTTCTGGTGCAAGGCGTAACAACCAGTTGCATCATCGAGTTGAAAGTTGGAAATACGCCATGTAAGAAGAAACGTTTTTGATGATATGAAGTGATATTTTCTTCTACTTTTTCGTGTTTATCGAGTAGTTTGTGAACTGTTCTCTCTATATGTGCCAAAATATGGTTTGTTTACATTTTGGCTCTTCCGCCCCTTTCAAATGTTAGTCTAGACTTGATCGGAGTTGCGGCTATCACGAAACTCTCGAGAACAATATTTCACGGTGTAATCTGACGAAGCATTAGCCCCATAATATTTATCCAACTTTTCTTTTGTTTCCTTCGACGTTTTGCCTCTCAAAAAATTATGTTTTATGAGAGAACGAAACCCGTTTTTATCCATACACAACATGATGCCAAACACGTCAACAACAATCAGCTGTCAAAACAAAACTAAAGACAGTATCGCACTGAAATTTGACATGTCTGCCTAAATATGAACGGACTACATGGCACCATAAACTTTTATGCAGCAGCAGCGCATTCTGGTGGTCAAGGAGGTTACTTTTCACCCCACCTTGTATCATAGAGGTAACTCTAAGACTAGAAGGTTCCGAAGAAACGTGCTCAACTTTTTGGCTCAGCTCTGGTACTCGGGCCCAAGCTAATCGATTCACCCCTCGAAACATAAGAAAAACCATTAACCCCTCATTTTATCTGTCAAACTTTCATAGCGAATCAAAACCAGCGTGGCCAGATTATTTTTTTCATTATCGGTCAGGGTGGCCAGACCTACCGATTTATCGGTAGTCCTACCGATTTTCGGGATGCCTACCGATTCACAGACAAAAGGTTAAAAACTACCGATTTTTCACTTCTCCTACCGAGAATCACAGATTTTTAGAAATCTTGAAAAATGTTCAATACCTACAGTCAGGGCGTCACAATATCAGCTTCAATCGACCAAATCGATGCGACGAAGAGACTGTTGGCTCTCTTTTTCTGTTAAAGTCGAACAGCTTCGCAGCATTCTAGAACCTCAGTCGGCGTGCACAAACAAATGTTCAATCGATTCTCTTTCTCCCGTCGCTCCATTGGTCTTCCTTTCAAGCTTCGGTGAAACGGATGAGCGAAAAAGCGCACGACTTTGATAGTTTTCTCTTTCATGAAACACATCAACAGAGGTTTCATGACGTATATGACGGAAAATGAAATTACACATTTAAAGCATTTCTCACGTGAAAACACGTGAAGATTACACGTAATATTTTTAATTTATCTTCTATCCATATATTTACCTAAAAAAATGATCAAAAACGAGACATAACGCATTTTAAACAATTTTTTTTTTTTTTTATATCTTTATTAAGGTTTATACAAATTGAAAGAGCGTTCGTGAAAGGGGATTGAAAGCCATAATGAGGTTCGTTTAACTAGAAAATCGACGTTAGTTACATTGAAAGCGATGAGCAAAGCAACGACGAGAAGTTCCACAGCCAGCCTTTCCTTCTAAGCGTCCTGCTTTTATATTTTCGTTTCTTGCTGATAGTCTAGCTAGGTGTTATAGAAATGAAGCGTCGAACACGTATGTATGAGAGAAAAAAAAAACACGAGTTTATTTTAGAGCTTCGAAAATGTAGAGCCCTGCCTACAGTTGTGTTCAATATAATAGCAGCGCATGCCAATTTCCATAAAAAATCCTCAACTTTGACATGATGTAACTTTGTTAACCTATGATCAATTAAGCTACAACGTTCGGCTGCAAATACATTAAATTTTACGATTACAAAATAACAAATTTTTGGAAGCACCTGGTAAAAATTTTCAAAATATTAGCTGTTTTTAATTTGAATTCTTATGTACCGCAAATATTTTAATTTTTTTTTTAACTATTATGTACATTTGTTTATAGGGTAGGGATTGTTAGAATTTTGAGTAATATAAAATTTAAAGTCTCAACATTGAGTTGAAATGCAAATTATTAGTACTGCTAATATTTTGAACAATTTTACCCAGTGTCTCACTTTCCGGCAGGTGCTTCCAAAAATGTGGTATTTTGTAATCGTAAAATTGAAAATATTTGTAGTTCTGTGGCGAACGTTTCAGCCCAATTGATCTTAAGAGAACAAAGTTACAACCTATTATATTGAACACAGCTGCATGTTTTGTTTTCCGTGTAGTCAGAATTAGAAATATTGATTTCGACACGTTTAAAGCAGAAGAGCTGAAGGACAGTGTATTGTTCTGAAGCAGAGTCCCCCCCCCCTCCCTCGCTCACAAAGGTTTCAAGTATCGGGAAAGCCTTCTTAAGATAGCCTACCGATAACTACCGACAAAAGTTTTGAGAAGCTACCGATAATGAAAAAAATAATCTGGCCACCCTGTTTAAGAGAGTGATAACGTACTGAGATAGTTTTTTTTTTCACGACGTAAATGAAAGATGACTGTCTTCATACGGAATTTCCCATGCGCTGTTTGGAGTGCGACGAAGATAGTAATACAATATTTTTCATCACTAACTTAGCTCTCTCTACGTTGATGCAAGACAACCTTCGGAAGGGAAGTAGAACCCGGTCCATGACTTGATGGATCGTTGGGTAGGGTCCAGGTGTGAGAGCTGACTGTTATGAGAAAATAATATAAAACTACAGTGAACTGAACTATCTACAACTCGATATTGAAGGCACCATGGAGTTATGGAATTATCAAGTTATAGGATAAAAATCCCATTCAAAATCGCTATCACAGTAGCCAATAGCCAGTACAAGATCCAGAATGGTCGATTTTTTGCAAAAAATGTGAATGATTGTCCAACACATAATTATGCAAAGCTTCATGCAAATCGAAGAAGTCCGAGTCTAAAATTTTTATGTTTTATATTATATGGCCAGGAACTGGTTCCACGGGACCAAAAACTTGTTACTAGTTGCAAAACTGGAACACTTATCCAACACCAATAAAAAAAATGTGTAAAAACCACCCCAGGAAACGGTTACCCTACATTTTTCTGAAAGTGAATCATTAAAACACTTCTCAACAGGCCAGTGTAATACTTAAACCTCAAACCCCGTGGCTCAACCTATTGCACAAACCACCCCAACCGGATATTACCTCTCCAAAGAGTACATATTTTCAATTTTTCAACCCTACTCCCACCATAATGCTCGTATTGAACCTATCCAACCAGCACCTTCCACAAGAAATGTCAAAGGCAACAAATGAAAGCCCCCCCACAAACTCCCTATCCACCACAGCCTCACCTGCGTACTCAGCAGCACAGCTCGGGTAACCGCAAAGATCCGACTGCCGACGCCTTCGTGCGGTCCGTAGATCACCACCAGATAGGTGATGCCCAGCAGCGGAATAAGTACCAGCAGTGCCTTGGATGCCTTCCGGTATTGCCTCGTTTCGACCGTATTGGCCGAGCGGAGCTTGGTGATGAGAACCTTTTCATTGTTGGAAAAGTGGAGAAATTGAATTGAAATCCGCTGCAGAACACTCGATTGAGCTGTTGATAAAAGTTTCGACTTACCCACATAATCCGCAGCAGAAAGATAAGGTTGATCACCAGCACAGTGCAGGATGGGCCCTGGATGATCCAGTCGATGTGAGATTCCCTCATCCACGAGCATTCAATTTCCAGCTGTGTGTGTGTGTGTGGGAGAAGGGATTCCAACGGGGGTTATTGTGCACGACGATAAATTCACCGAATCAGAAACAATTCATTAGCAATTTATATAAGTAGCATCAACATTTGTATCACAGCAGCAGTAGCAGCAGCAGCACACTCACCTTGTTGGGAAGCTCCGACATCATGTCGAATGGGTAGAGGGACTTGGTAATGGCCCACGCTCCAACGAAGATTAAAGGACCTCCTGGAAGAGAAAGAATTAAATGGAAACCGTAAAGAACGCTGAGCGGAGGACAATAACACGGAATGACGAGCCAGATGTGTCTCGTGATGTCGTTGCGATATACTTTTAATAGAATTAATTTCTGAAAGCATCCATTCATTTTGCTCGCTCGCAGAGGACAACATTCCAGATTCCTGCTGGCTGGATGCGAGGGAAAAAAAATTGCTCGCTAAGTCCAGCCATTTATCTCTTCGGTGGTGGGCCAATTTGATTTTCCCCGCCGTTTGAGCTATGTGGACTTTCAGCGAATGGGTGATGGAGCATTATTTCCTTTAAATTTTAACAAATTGGACGTTTGATTCAGGAGCCAAATTAGTCAACAGAGTTAGGCAAACGTTTCTTCACACCGCTCCAAGGCTCGTCGTGAGTTATTCTAAGCCAGAAGAGCTGGCAAATTATACGGCGATAAAATCGTTTCACTTGCTTCGGGTGCTTTAATTTAATCAAGCCCATTGTCTGCCTTTGGAATGAAGTATATGTTCGTAGCATGTTCCTAGAAGCAGTAGCTTCCAGCCATGGAAAGTGAGCACCCGTGTAAGACGTGTAGTCTCCCATAAGGTGGGAAGGATTTTGTGCTCCTAACAGAGCATAGGTAGAAATTTTGAGTTGAAGGCGGTGGTTCTATGATAGATTTTATATTTGAATCATTTTCATTTTATTATCAATAATTACACTGCGCAACAAATCGGAACTTTTTTTCTAGGACTGAGAAAATTGACCATATTTTCTTGTAGGCTTTTGAGTAAAAGTCCTGAAAATACCTATATCCTAACACGTCCTAATTTTGTGGTACCGCCCCCTTTATGAAGTTTGGTATGTTGTCCCGATGTCGGTCGTATACTGCCTAACTAAAGCATGATAGAATAATCTTAATTTTATTCGTTCGACAGAAATACTTAATAGCCCGGATATCAGGAAGCTAGATAAGAGTATAGTCTTCAAAAACAATCTTTTGCCTAGGAAACAAGCTGTCTGGAGATGCGTTAAAGATGTGATTCATAGATGACTTGGAACAAATCGGTCAGCAAGATTCCGATCAATTATTGAAAGTATGATAATCGCGTTTTATATTTGACGAGGGGTGCCCAATTTTAAAAATCACTCAAACGAGGGGTAAGATAGCAATATATCGTTTTCAAATATTCTAGAAACATGTTCCCTAATCTTTTGACGTAGAACTACGTCTTTGTCGACTATACTGGGGTGCAAATCAAAAAATATATATGGTGAAATAGTGTTAGGTTTTGAACGATTATAACTTTGTCGTTTATAGATGAAATTAAAATCCAAATGCGCCAATCGATAGGATATTACTTTACGGACCTGCTGAAATAAATAGTTTAAAAATTTTCCATAAAAAAAAAACTTTTGAAAAATGTGCAAATGATAATTTTCTCAATGTTTTCTGAAATACCTAAATGTTTTCCCTAAACCCAGTCATCATAATCGAGTATCATTTGGCTGCACATCGTTCTGCTTGAACCTAAAAATATATAAAACTGCGCTGCTGTCGTGCTTCTGCTCAATGTTTTACTGTCAGTGATTCTTTGCTCGACTGTCGAGCTGTTCAGTCCGTATTTTCGCTCGAGTTCTCGATAAGATTTTGTTTCGTTTTGTGCTGTCGCGTTGCGCCGTAGAAGTGTCGCCACCTTCTCGCGTTCTGGCAAGTTTAATTGAACTTGCAAACACGAAACAAATGGTGCGTAAACGTGCCAATAAGCCACCAGCGGGCCCTTCAAAGAAGGTACTAATCAAGCCCAGCGCGTCGCAGGATGACGCCGGAAAACGTGTACTGCAAGCCAACCAGTATGCAGTACTCCCGGAAGAAAATGGCGATGGTGACGCTGTTCCCATTGCAAGACGAGAGCGGATTCCCCCGCTTTTCACGCCGGTGAAGGATGTTGCCAAGCTGGGTGCCGAACTGGCAAAACACAAGCTGCTGCCTCGCTTCAAGCTTTGCAGCATCGGTACAAAAATCATGTGCTCCAGCTTGGAGGAGTACAAACAAATAGGAAGTTTCCTGAAGAACAACAACGTGGACTTCTTCACGCATGATCTGCCATCGAGCAAGCCACTGAAGGTGGTTTTGCGTGGATTACCGTCGTTCGAGGCTGCTGCGGTGAAGTCCGAGCTGGAGTGGCTTGGGCTCCAACCTGAGGCCGTGTTCCAGATGAACCGGCGTCCCAACCAAAACACCAGCTTCCGTGATCAGTTGTTCCTGGTGCATTTCACGAAGGGATCCACCAGTCTTGCGGCTCTGAAATCCAAAATCCGGGACCTGTTTCAGGTCATCATCACTTGGGAGCATTACAAACCCCAACATCGTGATGTAACGCATTGTATGAACTGCCTCTCATATGGCCATGGCACCAAAAACTGCCACATGAAGAGACAAACTGCGGCAAGTGTGCTGGAACTCACTCAACTGCGTCCTGCGAGCAAGTCGATGACATCGAGCCAACGTGTGTCAACTGCGGTGGAAACCACCAAGCCTCCAATCGCGGATGTCCCAAGCGAGTGGAGTTCATTAATATCCGTCGGAAGGCCACAATCAACAACCAGCTCGGTCGCCTTCGTAATCATCGTTCGCCTCCTGTACTAACGGAAGTCCAGTACCCAGCTCTCCAGCCCCGTCGACATGTTCCGAACCTAGCTCCGCTTCCGCTCAACAACCAACAAGCCAATCCAGCGAGTATCCAAATGGTTCCCAACAGTCGGACAGTTCAGCATCGTCTCGCTGTTGCTGCGGCCCAGCCAATTCCAGGTTCATCCACCGCCCCTGGTTTATCATACGCTGGTGCTGTCTCAGGTGAATCTGTCGACGATTCTCCGTTCACCTCGGAGGAACTTGTGACGCTCGTGGCCGAGGTCATCATCATCATGCGTACCTGCAAGACTCGATCTGAACAGCTTCATGCTGCCTTTTCACTCGTCACCAAGTATGGACCGTGAAGCTATAAAAATATCAAATTGGAACGCTTGCTCACTGACGAACAAGCATAGAGAGCTACTCGATTTCCTCAACGCCAAGGAGGTCGACATTGCTATCATCACCGAGACGCATCTGAAGCCCGAACTAAACATATTCCTTCCCGACTTCCGGCTCGTCAGACTTGAGATCGCACCTGCTCTGGAGGTGGAGGAGTGGCCATCGCTGCAAGACGGAACATCAGTTGCCGGCTGTTACCAAACTTCCAGCTGAAAACAATTGAAGCCATCGAAGTGGAGGTGAGCACATCACTTGGCCCAATCACCATCATCGCGGCCTACTGCCCCAAGCAAACCAACATCAGGGACGGGTCGTCAGTGGCCCTCCGCAAAGACATCATCAAACTCACCCGGAGGAGCGGGAACTTTATCATCGCTGGCGATCTGAACGCAAAACATCAAGCTTGGGGCATCGGCTTGGGGCAATAGAAGCGGCATCATCCTCAATGAAGACCTGCAAGAGGGCCACTATACCATCTTGGCCCTGGACTCTCCCACCCGGTTGAGTCGGTCTGGGGTCCATGCGACCATCGACATCTTCGTAAGCAACATGGGACACAACGTCTCGCAACCTGTGGCATTCCAGGAGCTGAGCTCGGACCACTACCCGGTGGTGGCCGAAGTTGGATCCTCGGTAAACCGATTCGAAGCTTCCCGGCGCAACTACCATCGAGTCAACTGGGCGCAATATCAACACTGCGTCGACACAACCATCGACTACGATGTCCAACCGGGGACGTCGGAAGATGTTGACCGGTGTCTACAAACCATCGAGAAGGCGATTTCCCGGGCCAGGGAACAACACGTGCCAGTATCCAGACAGGTGAGTAACACTCTGAACCTTGACAGCCCTACCAAAGATCTCATCAGACTCCGTAACACCATTCGTAGGCAGTACCAGCGTACTGGCCTGCCTAACTTGAAGACCAATTGTAATCGATTAACAAAGACCATTCAGCCCAGGATGGTGGATCTCAGAAATAACGATTTTGCTAGTAAGATCCGCTATCTCCCAGATTGTGCTAAGCCCTTCTGGAAACTTACAAAAATTCTTAAAAACAAGCCTAGGCCCATTCCCCCACTGACCCCACTGGATCGTCCCGGCGACCCAGTGGTTCATCTGATAACTCCTGAAGAGAAGGCTGCCGCGATAGGTCAACACTTCGTCAGCTCCCATAATCTCGGACAAAACATCGTCAGCCCTCATGAATCTGAGGTTGCTGAAAATGCAACCAATCTTCTTCAGATTCCTAACATTTTTCCAGAGGAATCCGAGATTACGGCTCACGAACTGTTGGCCTATATCAAATCATCTAAAAACATGAAGGCCCAGGTTTTGGCAACATCCTGAATCTGGAACTCAAACACTTGAGTTCCAGATTCTACAACCATCTGGCACTGATTTTTAATCAGTGCCTCAGACTTGGCTACTTCCCCTCGTGTTGGAAGTCAGCTAAAGTCATACCCATCCGGAAACCTGGGAAGGATCCCTCCTCTCCTTCAAGTTATTGACCAATCAGCCTTCTCTCAGGGTTATCAAAACTGTTCGAAAGAGCACTGTACCACCGGCTCCTAACATCTGCCGATGAAAACAACTTGTTACTCGAGGAACAGTTTGATTTTCGGAAAGGTCGTTCGACCGTCCACCAGCTGACTCGAGTAACAAACATTCTCAGACGGAACAAGTCTGTTTCGAAAACATCTGCCATGGCGTTGTTGGACGTTGAACAAGCATTCGACAATGTCTGGCATGATGGCCTGGTGTTCAAATTGCAGCAGTACGGTCTTCCAATCTTCCTAGTGAAGATCATAAACAACTATCTATCAGACAGGACGTTCCGAGTCTCTCTGAATGGCATCTCATCGGATGCTTTCAACATCGGTGCCGGGGTTCCACAAGGAAGCATTCTTGGCCCCATCCTATTCAACCTGTTCACCTTCTTTATGCCGGCTCTCCCTGATGGTGGATCGTT